ACACATATATGTGTGTGTCAATGGATTTGTTTCTCTAGTCTACCCAGACTAACACACAGGTGAACTCTTTTTTGTTGAAGCATAGCCTTTGAAGGTCTTTCTGTAGCGGTCACATCCGAACAGGGATCTGTAGGGTCAGGAGAGGTCTGTTCAAGTGCTATGACTTTCTGGAGGGGCAGCCTTACAAGCAGAAGAGACTCATGTTGGAATGTCCAAGGGCCGGGAGGCTGGAGCAGAGGCAGCAAGTAGAAGATCAGAGAGGAAAAAAAAACGTATCACACACCATAGGGCCACGTTCAAAGGGGCCCTGGAGGTATAGTGGTTAATCACTGGGCTGTTAACTGCAAGCTCAGCAGTTGGAAACTACAGAAACTAGGCCCCTAAAGTTACAGTCTCAGAAACCTACTGAGGCAGATCTACCCTGTCTTAGGAGGTCACTAGGAGTCAATCGATGAGAACCGACTCAATGGCAGTTAGCAGTTAGTTCACAGGGCCGTACTAAACCCTGACCATGCCTTTAGATTCTGTCCCAAGTAGAAGCCATTGGACGACTTTGAGAAGATTGACAAGCTCTGACATATATTTTTAAAGATCATTCTGGTTATTATTTGATAACAGCTATTAGGAGGGAAGCAGTGGAAATGAGAACCTTGTGCTAGTCTGAGTAGACTAGAGAAACAAATCCAGTTGACACTCCTGCGTGTATAGGAGAGAGTTTAGATCACAGAGCAATTGAATATTGAGAAAACATCCCAGCCCAGTCCATATTAAATGCGATATTAGTCCATATGTCTGGTACCAATCTATAAAGTCCTCTTCTGACTCATGAAACACCTGCAATGGTGTCAAAGGCTGAGTTCCCCAGTGCAGGCAGCAGACCACGGTGTACAGACCCTAAGTCCCCATCCCAGGCCTCCTCCACCCGCCAGAGAAGAACAGAGGTGTACTTCATGAAGGTACGTCAACCAGGTATTTTATTGGTCTGGCAATTGCAAAATATACAAATTTCTGAAAGGCATTCCCTGTGTGAAAGCTAGCATAGCTTCATCCCAGGTAATTCATCCAGACAAAATACACATAACAACTGAAAAGTCATTAAGTCACACACGAAAGGCCCCTGAAGCCAATGGACAACGAATCCCCCAGTCTATGGACAGCTTTCTATTTCCAAGCCCCCCCCCCGCCCCCTTGTACATATTAAATAAATAAATAGCACATCTGCTATCAAAATAATAGAAAAATAAGTTTCAAGTATCACAGATGAAAAATCATCATTGGTGTGGTTCAAACCGTTTCTCGCTGCCTCAGGGCTCTGCCCATGGTTACACTCCAAGGCCGTGACAAAGAGGGGCCAGGAACCCCACCCCAAAGCAAATATGCAGCTAGAAAGATTGGTCCCAGGTGGTTGTTTTGCCGGAGTGGGTAAGG